CGTGTTGAACAGTCTCGGACCTCTGATGTTGACAGAGTTCTCTCTCAGAGTACCAGTTGCACCTCTGTTTTTCAACGGGGGTATTCTGCACATCCTGCCATGTCTTCTGGTCTCATGTGATGTTATTTCTGTGTGCAGGTTTGGGACCAGCCCCTCTAATATTTTCCACGTGTAAATTATTATGTACCTCTCCCGATAGAGGCCTGCGATAGAGGTTTTTAACCATTCTTCAAAAACAGGTCCTGAGTTCCTGGACTCAGGACCTGGTTCAAAGTGCATAGGCATACTGTCCACGGCCACCCATCCTCTTGATAAGATGGTTCTTTTTGTAACTATATGGACCATCTTAGGAGAATCGACGAGATGGACAAATCGACAGCAGAATTTGTGATTATTCATTTGATAGAAACATTTCATCCAGAGTCCAGAAACAAATAAAGCTTAAAACTTGGCCTCAGTCAAGTCTTGACCTAAAAACTCAGGGTGACCCAGGTCACCAGGAGGTCAGGGTGGCCTTAGATGTGGTATTTGATGTTGATAACACATTCATGAAAAATTCGTTTAGGATATCAGTCCTCAGTGTGTTTAGGGAGTTCACTAAGTAACATCAAGGAGAGTAACACTAAGATACACCAAGTAGTACAACACTAATTAAGTAGCAACAAGTAACACACCCTGGAGAGTAGCACAAAGGACCACCAACGAGTATAACACTAAGTAACACCAAGTAACACAGAGAAGAGTAACACAAGCACCAAGTAACACAGAGAAGAGTAACACAAGCACCAAGTAACACAGAGAAGAGTAACACAAGCACCAAGTAACACAGAGGAGAGTAACACAAGCACCAAGTAACACAGAGGAGAGTAACACAAGCACCAAGTAACACAGAGAAGAGTAACACAAGCACCAAGTAACATCAAGTAGAATGACAGGCAGTAACACCATGAAGAGTAACAGAGTAACTAAGTAGAGTACCACATAGTAACGGTAAGTAACACAAACACTAACACCTTGTAGAGTAACATACAGTAACTACAAGTGGAGAAAAGTTGAAAAACTTCAAGTTGGGAGTAAAGGGTCTTATGATGACGTCATATCTGAGTATGTAATCGAGGCCTTAACAAATCATATTAATCTATATTAGGGTTGCTGGATTTTCTTCACCGGCATAAGTAAGCCAGTGAATCAATTACAGATAAACAGAAAGAGTGGAACAGAACAACCAATCCTTGTTCTGTTGTAAAGAACAGAATATATATATCTATCAAGAACAACATCTGTTGTAAAGAATGCGTAATTCTTCAACACGTGACAGGAATAACGCATTATAAGGCAAAATCGAACAAACTTCGAAAGAACAAGTACCGTAGGAGAACTTCATATCTGTTTACTGTTGGGAGGTACGTGTTCGATTGTCCGAACATTAGTTCTTGAGTTACACTGAACAGTGTTCAAATTGAGGCTAAAGTGGGGCAAAACAAGTAAATAGGACTCACGAGAAAAAATAGGACTGAAGGTAGTTTAACAGAAAAATGGGGCTGAAGAGACATAAGCAGAAAATGGGGACTTAAACAGGAAAATTTAAACATTTTGATTATCATATTAGGTCGATCTTACGCCGCCATAAACGCTCACGTGTAAATGAGACACACAGCCACTCTGCGAGGATGAGACACACAGCCACTCTGCGAGGATGAGACACACAGCCACTCTGCGAGGATGAGACACACAGCCACTCTGCGAGGATGAGACACACAGCCACTCTGCGAGGATGAGACACACAGCCACTCTGCGAGGATGAGACACACAGCCACTCTGCGAGGATGAGACACACAGCCACTCTGCGAGGATGAGACACACAGCCACTCTGCGAGGATGAGACACACAGCCACTCTGCGAGGATGAGACACACAGCCACTCTGCGAGGATGAGACACACAGCCACTCTGCGAGGATGAGACACACAGCCACTCTGCGAGGATGAGACACACAGCCACTCTGCGAGGATGAGACACACAGCCACTCTGCGAGGATGAGACACAGTGCTCGACCCCAAGAGCAGTACAACAAGTGAGAGCCGCTACAAGCAGGAACACTCACAAGCCTCCTTTACAAGCAACGCAGAAAGCTCCAATATAACAACTTGACAGCATTTAGATTTCCTACGTCTAAAATACGTGATACAGAACAGGGATTCAAATCTGAAGGTAGTTCCTCTCACTCTTAACTACTATGGAGTTGTGAAATACGATAATGGTGTCTTTTGGCATCATATATATTATTTAGATGCTTGGTAAGCCAAATAATATCAAACACTGCCATCACAATGTTTATATAACACATGGAAGGGATATCAGAAAAGTGATATCATATTTTTTTGGGCGGTAAAGAGGTTGAAGAGGCCTAGGTGAAGGGAAAAGTTTGGTTAATAGGAAATTTAGCATGTATTATGATAGCAGGCGGACTAGGGGATATTTCTCATATCCCTTATTCCGCCCTGATGACTATGGGATATGAGAAAAGACTAAGTGCTGGGAAATGATGATAATGGACTGAAACAAAGGCACCAAACAACTTAGATCATCGGGGATCGAACACTGACCTTTCAAGAAGCGAGGCCTCCGCTGTACCTGCCAGTGCAACTGAATGAAACTCTGGTGTCGCTCGGTGTAAATAACTAAGTCATTCATACGATTAATTCGTGCGTGGAGAGATTGCACTTGGAGCCAGCCGATCAGTATTCATTGCTCCCCTGCGCTTAATCCCTTGATGAGGTCAAATTACACAAATTACATCCATTGTACACAATGTACCTAAATGAGAGGCTTGGCACTCTCCACCACATTGCTTTAATTGAACATTTGAGTATGTGGGTGTATACCTTCGAGGGGGACAATTATGTCACCCAAAATACGTTTGTGAAACATAGTTCAATCCTTCAAACAATGCCAGATAATCAGATTTAATAATAATTATCAACAGTTCTTGTACTTTAGGAGTACAACATAGTGTACTCCTGAAGATGCAGGCGATGAGTCACAATAACGTGGCTAAAGTAAGTTGACCAGACCACACACTAGAAGGCGAAGGGACGACGACGTTTCGGTCCGTCAGAGACCATTCTCAAGTCGATTGAGAATGGTCCAGGACGGACCGAAACGTCGTCGTCCCTTCACCTTCTAGTGTGTGGTCTGGTCAACTACTCCTGAAGATGTCACATTGCTGACGAAACGTCGAACAATAAAAACTAAAGTGATCTCCCGTTGATTCAACCTCAGGATGGTAGAGTATGTTTGTGTTGAATGGAAAATATCCAAAAGAAAATTTATAATAGTCACTAATAATATAATAGTCATTTATAATATATATATATATATATATATATATATATATATATAATGTTGTTAAATATGACCGAAAAGTAAGTTTAATAATTCTAACACGAATTTTCTCAATATTTCTTATGTTTCTTTTTACTGTCGATGGTAATCGACAGTAAATTGAAAAATCAATTCTCAATTTCTCTAAATTGAAAAATCAATTTAGAGAATTGAAAAATCAATTCTCTAAAATTCCTTTTTATTTCTAGTCTGACGCGACGCTTGAACGCGTTTCGTAATAACGTATTACATTTTCAAAGACTTTAGTTTACACACACACACAACTGTAACCTGAAAACACTTAACAGAGTTTTACTTATTCTAACGCTAAACAGCTTGTCTTATATACTCGCATTTGGGTGAGATGATATGTTGAAACAGTTTTGGATGAGGTGAACAAACGTTTGACCAACACAAGGCAGAACACAGTTCAATGGGTATAAATTGGATAAGTGAAAGGGAAGAATGGAAGTAACTGCAAACGGCCTATTGGCCTATACTTCCTCTTGATGCTTCTATATTGGTGCGGAGTCTTGAAGTGGGTAGAATATAGTTGTGCATTAATTGGCTGTTGATTGCTGGTGTTGACTTTTGATTGGTCAACAGCCAATTAATGCACAACTATATTCTGCGTGTGTGAGACCTGTCTGACACTGACCATTGTAACCGCGAACTACCACCACTGCTGGGAGCCATAATCACTCTCGTAGTGGCTTGAGCTTCCCAAAGGCATCAGACACGCTTGATCTACTCCCCTATTGTTATGGGCATAAGGCGCTCATGGGTGGATGTACTCTGTAAACTCATCTTGCCACACTAAAAAGCTATCGAAATCCCTTATCTCACACTATCTTATCCTTATTTCATTATTATTATTATTTTATACTAATTATTCTCATTGGTAGTAGTGGCAGTAATAGTTTTAACTAAGGAACTAGTGTCATTACTTTGTTACGCTAATTGTTGGTAATGTTACTTATTTAGTAATATTAAATTGGTAATATTAAATTGGTAATATTAAATTGGTAATATTAAATTGGTAATATTAAATTGGTGATATTTTTTTTATTCCATTTATTATAATATGTATTAATGCCATTGCTGTCATTGTTATCACTTTCATTATTAGCATTACAGATGATAATGATTAAAATATTCATCATTGTACTCACCATAATTGTCAATACTATTTTAATCATCAATATTTTACTATCATCATCAATTTTACCATCACCATCATTAACAATAATATCATGATCAATATAATCAGTATGATCATCATTACCATCATTATTTTAATTATTATTATAATCATCATTATTATCTTCATTATCATAATTAATGGCATTGTTATCATCACTGCGATCATTATAATCATCATGACGTTCATTATTATCATTATAACCAGTTTAATCATCATTGCTATGTTCATTATCATCCTTAATGGTATTGTTATCATCACTGCGATCATTATTATCATCATGACCATCATATCATCCTTACAGCCTATCCTCCTAAAATGAAAGTACTTATTAAAGTACTTATAGTAACAATCTGGTCGATCGTAAAAACTTGGACATGATAGACCAATAAAAAGTAGACTTTTGTATTATTGAAATTGCAATACAGTACAAGTTTTTGTCTATTTATGCTGGCAATGAAATCTAACCTAACATTCCTAGGCTTATGTAACGGTATCAACACCGTGGCTGGAGTGGGGAGTGGCGATTTCGGCGCCATCTATGGACCTGCACTCCAACTCTCAGGTATTAGAGGAGACGCAGACAACGCCATCTGTTGGCAGTGTTGTGGCGACGGTGAAAGGCTCCTGTCTCATACCTCAGTTAGAAGGCGCGGTCGACGATGATGATCTCTGGCCGGGGGGGAGGGGGGAGTAACGATATCAACGCCAACTAGGTTGTGCAAGCAATTATAATTTCAGTTCCCCGGTGAAAGGGTGTTATCCTAAGGTCACCTAGTATTCTGTCCGTCTAGCTAATGACGTTCATATTCACAGAGGTGACGTAAGGAGGCGATTGCGCTGAGGAGGGCCTTTCACCTTGGTCAGTCCAGAACTCTTGACTTGGTCCTCTGAGAGGAGAAAGTGGCCGCCGTCGGTAGTAGCAGTGTGTTAGCTGCTGGATTTATGCAGTGTTGTATGGACCGACGTACCCGGGATTTGGTCAAGAAGAGTTACAAGGCGATAGTGGTGCATCTGTTGAGAAGTGCTGCTAGAGACTTCTGCCAGGGTCTTAGCTACCCCCTATACATGATTAATTGAGAACCCTGTCAGCATGTTACTGAAACCCTCTGCCAGTGTGTTTCTGGAGTGCGGATATTGGGAATTGAGACATCGTGACGATAAGATGTGTGGACTGACCCATGTTGAGGAAGGAGACTCGCCGGTGATTACTCCTTGAGTGTGGACGACATGAACCTGGACCTAGTGGACTTGCCGAGATTTGATGAACACTGCAGATCTATTGAGTGTCTTGAGTGAAAGCGACACAGTGTAAATACGCGTAGTAATACTTAAGGATATAATATATTGGTGAAGGTGTCATGGCGCATTGTTTATCCCCCCATTTATTTCTTGGAATAGTACTTGCAACAGCCAGTTCGTGAAAACTTACCATCGACTTTGGGTAGGATCAAGAAGAGGTTATAAAACACGTTAACAGAACGAACCCGGTTACTGGCCCAAGCTGGCCGTAACACCCTAATACACCGGACTAATATAGCACAGACAAGTGCTATACCAGGCCTTGGAATATATATATATATATATATATATATTTATATATATATATATATATATATATATATATATATATATATATATATATATATATATATGTGTGTGTGTGTATATCACGAAAATAAACACGTGATTAAGAATGTGACAATGTCAGACCACGGAGGAAAAATGAAACAGGAATTTCCTTAAGTATTTTCGTATATTAAATACATCTTCAGAAGGTGATGTGGCTTACTGGAGCTTACTAGATAGTGGAACGATCGACACATAGTTACAAAACGTACTATCAAAATAGGAGGATGGCTTGCATCTTCATCAGCTTCCCCCCACCCCATGCTCCCACCACCTGCCGTCAAGCCTGGCCCCGGGCCGTCAAGCCTGGCCCCGGGCTGGGCTTGGGGAGTAGAAGAACTCCCAGTACCCCATCAACCAGGTACACTAGGCCTGTAACCAGATACTGGTGTCCACAGGCCGCCGCTGGGGGCGCTGGAGAACTGCCTGGACTGCGTGAGGGTGGTGCTGGGGGAGTGCTGGTCCGAGAACCCTGAGGAGAGGCCGGACTTCAGGGCCATCCGCACCAAGCTCAGACCCCTGAGGAAGGGAATGTGAGTACCTGTTTTACTCTCTAGAATTTTTATTATTTTTGTTTTGTGGGTGGGTGGGGGGGGGACAGTTGAGAGGTTTGTGTGATTGTTAGTTTGAGCGGGCATGTTTGCCTGGATGCTTTGTGTGGTTGTTAGTGTTAGTCAGCAAGTTCTCCCCTTTCTAGAGGAGAATTACATATTGTAGCAAGGGGGCTGCACAATGCTTCAGCTGCCTCTTTTAGTATCCATGCGATCCCGCGGCTTTAGTCACATCCAGTTCCTGCAGTTGTGTCTTTACTTCTTCTGGTGTCACTATTAATTCAGTGAGGCTTTCTTGTGGAATTTCCCGTTCAGTTTGTGCTCTAAGCTCTACTGGCAAAACAGATTGCAGCTTGAATACTTCCTGGAAGCCTTTACTTAGTTCCACGAATGTCTCCTCATTTTCCATGTGTCGTCCTTTACTTTTGTCAAGTCTACTCACTTGGTCATTCACAGTCTTCTTCCTCCTAAAATGGACATGAAACGTGGCTGGTACTTAGCGATGTATGCAACGTCATTCTCATACTGCTGCTCTGCTACCATCCTAATTTCCGTACTCATTTCTGGCCATTTTATATACATTGTGATTTCCTTCTGGTCTATGTTCTCTACGTGTCTTCCATGCGCCCTTTGCTTCCAAGCACTGCCCGTTGAACGATGGGCTAATACTCGACGTGCTTCCCTTGACCCTTAATGGTGGTATGAATCTTTCTTCAGGGGATGAGTCACAATAACGTGGCTAAAGTATGTTGACCTGATCACACACTAGAAGGCGAAGGGACGACGACGTTTCGGTCAATCCTGGACCATTCTCAAGTCGATTGTGAATCGATTGTGAGTCGATTCACAATCGACTTGAGAATGGTCCAGGACGGACCGAAACGTCGTCGTCCCTTCACCTTCTAGTGTGAGGTCTGGTCAACAATCTTTCTTTAGCTTCTTTGAGTTTGTTACAGAGTCCATCATGTTCTGGGTTAATTTTCCTGGGAGATTCCGTTCATCATTGTATCCCTCTCCATGAATTCCCTTCTGGTAGTCCCCTCTCCTGTATGGTAGCCTTGCACTCTCCCACTCCTTATAGTTTTTATAGTCATTTTCACTGCGAATTCAAATTCTAAAACACAGTGGTCACTGGCTCTTATAGGCATTTTCATGTCATTTTTCGTATATTATATATATATATGCCTGTATATATATGTGTGTCTGTAACAAGCTTGAATGGTCCCCAAGCCAATATGCAACCGAAAACTCCTCACCCCAGACAGCCAGGGCTCCATGCACCTTAGCATATCCAGTACTTTACCTGCCAGACCTGTGCCAGACCACACTGATTGTTCAAAAGGATTGAAAGTCGTCAGACCCTTAACCCAACCCCCGACATAGGAAAAGGCAGGTTTAATATTGTGATGATAGCTTGAGTGTGTTGTGGTTCTCCAACAGGAAGCCGAACATCTTCGACAACATGCTGGCGATGATGGAGAAGTATGCTAACAATCTCGAGGCTCTGGTGGACGAGAGAACTGACCAGCTGATTGAGGAGAAGAAAAAGACCGGTAAGTGTGCAGGAAAATGGAGAGAGAGAGAGAGAGAGAGAGAGAGAGAGAGAGAGAGAGAGAGAGAGAGAGAGAGAGAGAGAGAGAGAGAGAGAGAGAGAGAGAGAGAGAGAGAGAGAGAGAGAGAGAGAGAGAGAGAGAGAGAGAGAGAGAGACATACAATTCTAGACTAAAAGACTCATGTGATCTATGATAGTTATCCCTCACGGACGCGTCGACACCAGTGAGTCCAACACGTGAAAGTCTCAGTTTACTTCAGTAAATCTGTTCACGACTGACCTTCTTAGGTAATCATCCTTCTTTACTTGGCACCTTTGCTCACTTGGCACCCTTTTTCCTCAAAAAACAAAATTTTTACTTAAAATCTACATAAATCCCACAACCTCCACTTGGTATGTACTTGCTTAGTCAAGTTAGCAATCCTGACATGTACAACTTATATCACCACATTCACTGTCGAATCATAGCCACCATCATCACCACAATTATCGACTCACAACCCATATTACCACACTCATACCCGATTCACAGTCCCCTTACCACCCCCCATCACCACTATATTGGCCTACACTACCCTTCACCACACCCATTTTCGACTCAGAGCATATACCACCCACTATCCACCCACAGCCCCAATCATCAATCTCAGGATTGGCCCACTGCACCCATTATCACCTTCACTATGCCTCACAGCCCCCATCACCAATCTCACTCTGCACCCATAACACCTATCACCACCATCTCAGTCGATCGATCGATCTCTTATATCACCAACCCCCATTAAACACCCATTACCACTCATTCTGCACCCATCACAACCATCACCATGCACCCATCACCACTCACGCTGTGCTCCCATCACCACCTTCACTCTCCTGCCAGAGGCGCTGCTGTACGAGATGCTGCCGAGGTACGTGGCCGAGCAGCTCAAGCGAGGCCACAAGGTGGAGGCCGAGAACTTCGACTGCGTCACTATCTACTTCAGCGACATCGTTGGCTTCACGGAGATGTCGGCAGAGTCCACCCCGCTTCAGGTGAGTCCACCCGCTTCAGGTGAGTCCACCCGCTTCAGGTGAGTCCACCCGCTTCAGGTGAGTCCACCCGCTTCAGGTGAGTCCACCCGCTTCAGGTGAGTCCACCCCGCTTCAGGTGAGTCCACCCGCTTCAGGTGAGTCCACCCGCTTCAGGTGAGTCCACCCGCTTCAGGTGAGTCCACGTACCCTGCTCGAGGCGAGTCCACTAACGGTGGGCAAGTACTGCTAATTGTGTTATTATTGCTTGTATCTTCGTTAATAAGAGGTAAACCATTTGCGGTATACCACCACACAACATGGCGCAAACGTTTTGTTAACGTTAAATGTTGTTACGTTCTTACAACTTTGCATCAAAGGAACGCAAAAAGTAACGTTTCCGAAACGTTTGTGTTGGATGGAATGGTTGATTAATTTAACATACAGCAACTTTTGGTTTACATCAAACTAACAACACGAGTCTCACCAACTTCCAGATGTAGGACGTTCTTGGAGGAAGTTCACTAGATGATAGTTCCTTGGGCAGGGAAATGGGGAAAGAGGCACTTCTTATTCAAGTGTCTATAGGGGTCTATAACGTAAAAAACGCGACCTATTAGTTGAGAGGGCTGGCTGTATCTCTCCTACCGTCAGTCTTTCTAGCTATGCCCAACCACTTCGGGTATAGGGTAGAGGGACGGTCTCGCTTCAGTGCAGGTCGGCGTTCAGTCCCCGACCGTCCAAGTGGTTGGGCACCATTCCGTTCCTTCCCGTCCCATCCCAAATTCTTATCCTGGCCCCTTCCCAGTGCTATATAGTCGTAATGGCTTGGCGCTTTCCCCTGATAATTCCCTTCCCTTTTTTGTGTCCGAGTGTGTGACTGTTCTTGACTCTCCTGGCAGGTAGTCGACTTCCTCAACGACCTCTACACCTGCTTCGACTCCATTATTGGTAATTACGACGTCTACAAGGTGGAGACCATTGGCGACGCTTACATGGTGGTAAGTCCCTTCTTATGTGTCAAGTCCACTCAAACGGTGTCAAACCCCCATTACAATAGTATCATGTCCACTTCATAGTGCCAAGTCCACGTAAGTAGTGGTAAATCTACATAAATAGTGTTAAGTCTATTTGCATTGTGCTAAACCCGGTTAAATGGTATTAATTGCTTTACTGGGTGACGCGTCCACTTATAAAGCATTAAGTCTTCTTCTGCCCATTTTGCACAACGAAAGATCGGTTGCATGGAGGTAAGTCATTCACCTCGTATTTATTACATTAAAAGGCAAAATTCTCATATATGCAGCTGTGAAATTCCAGTAATACCAGATTAGTGGAATGCTGTCTTCCGTGGGTGTTGGCTTCACATATTTGTTATCCTAATTAATTCAGATATTAGTAATAAGAACCTACACTCGTGTATTTGTGAAATATATGTAAGGAATTTACACAAAGTCTTTCGCACTCTCTTGAGTGCTTCGTCAAGGTCTGAGTGTGTGGTTAGGACCAGACTTACATCTCAACGTCTAATCATTCTAATGTAAGATTAAAATTAAAGTAAGGATTAGACGTTGAGATGCAAGTCTCGTCCTAATCACACACTCAGACCTTTGACGAAGCACTCGGAAGAGTGCAAAAGACTTGGAGTAAATTCCTTCCATAAATTTAACATATACACAAGTGTGGGTTTTTATCCTATGTTATTATATCTGTGAAAAGACGTTACCATTACTAATCTGAATTGGAGTTCACAGTTCCTGGATACACATGTCTGTCAAATAAAGCAAGATCACTAACAGGAACATTTACATGTAGTACAGGCTTGGTAGGCTTAGTTCATGTGTGTGTGTTATTTGTGTACATGGGGGGATGTACATGTACACCAAGTTCGTGTAAGGTGTAAGGTGAATCTCCAGCTCCAGGCGTCCGCCACTTAGATATCAGTCATATGGTGAAGTGACTTTTCAATTTCTTGTAACTTGTCACATCTTTTCTTGAAGTTGTAAGTGGAGGGAACACCATCTACTCATCTCAAAATCATTCTACTTTGTCACTGAGACTCTGTGTCCTGTCTGTTAGGTATCCCCTCGCTTGGTTCATGCTTCGCAGGGTAACGCAAACCTCTTCCTTTCCGTTTTTTGCATTTGAGAAAAGCTCCTTCTTGTTTTTGATTAAGTTGTTACTAATTTTATGTAGTTCGTGTTATTTATTTATGTTTACGTGATAATTTCTCTTGTGTCGCCTTTTCACTCCGTGTCAAAGCTTGGGTATCCATCGGGGTGTTAATATGTCTCTTACATTCTTTACTGGCTCTCACCACACACTCTTAGCATTCTCTTCTCTCCTATTTTTTCCTTTTTTACGTTCTCCTTACCTGGCTCTCTCCTCCTCCTTAACCTTCTCCTCTGTCCTTCACTTCTTCAATCCCCCCACTCCCTTTCTCCAAGTTTCCTTCTGTTCCTGTTATCCCTTGACTGACCAGCTGGTGGTTGCCCATCAGGTGAGTGGTCTGCCCATCAGGAACGAGGATCAACATGCAGGTGAGGTGGCGTCCATGTCCATCCACTTGCTGGACGCCATCAGACGCTTCAAGATCAGACACCGACCCAGCGACACGCTCAAGCTGCGCATCGGCCTCCACTCAGGTCAGTCCAACTCACTCACTATTCTTCCCTTTTCTGTTATAACCACTTGAACTGGTCGGTACAGCAACGTCCTCACTTCTTTCCAGGTTGGCGTTCGATACCCAATGGTTCAAGTGGTTGGGTACCATTCCTTCCCTCTGTCCTATACCTGATTCCTGTTCTCCTATTCCTTTATCGTTTCCTCTTCTCGGTGATGGTTGTGTACAAGACTTGCACGGTGAGGGTGTATAGTTATACAGGGATATCAGTGACAGGTAGATTACATTTATTAAGTATGCTCAGGTTGCCGAGATTGTAGTCATTTGAATTGACCCATTTATCATACAAAGGATAAGGTGATGTGTTGGTGCCAATTTCTGGTGAAATTAGGCCACAGAATTGACTGTTTCTGAGAAATTCTGATGTCGAGTCTTTTTATGACTTTTTTTAAAGTAAAAAGTGTATTGATACATGTGTGATCCTCTCTGGTGCGGTTGGTAGTTTCAGTTCTTCCATGTGAGTGATTGTTGTGGATCTTGGGGCACCATCAACCACCCTCGTGGCATCATTCTGTATTACGTCATGTCTGTTCAAAACAGAGGCGGGGAAGTTAATTAGATGCTAGTTATGATAATCAACTAAAGATCAGGTAAAAAGAGTCTAGCATATTTAATAGTGATTCAACTATCCTTACCAAGAAGTGATTTCAACCATTTCCTTTCCGAGCCTTTCTTTCAACCATTAATGTAAGTCGTTTATTCGTGCCACTGTTCATACCTACTACAAGGTTTAAGTGTTTTGGTTGTTGACGTTAAAAGCTAGATGAAGTGGGACGAAGCGTTGTGGATTTTGTTATAGAGAAAATAAGACCGCATTCAACGCCTTTAGTAGCAAGATAATCAAGTACAGCTTGCAGTCGAATTTGGATATTTCCAACAATACAAATGTGGTCATCATAACAGATAGTTCCGTCAGGAAGTGTAGGAATGTTACTTAATAATTCATGCATCAAGATATTGGAGAGTGTTGAGCTTAGCGCTCCACCCTCAGGTGCACCCAACCCTAAGGACCCAAAGTGATCACCACTCACCCTCTTGGAAAGGACCGAGGCGGGCCTGTGATCAAAGACCTCCTGAGCCATATTAAAACTCTTTCTTAACGCCACTTCCCCCCCAAAAAATAAATTACGGGCTATTCATGCCAGTGCCATCTCTTGGGTGGCTTAATCTTCATCAATCAATCAACAAAATGGCTAGTTGTTCTAAAATTAGTTCTCTTCTGAATCAATAGCAATTTGGAAATTAATAAATGAGACCTAAGAGCTCAGTCGACGTATAATCATATGCCGTATGATGCCGTATGACCTAAGCAAGTTTGAGTGCTTCTTCCGGGCATAAATGAAGCCACAAAGGTTAGGAGCAAGTTTGAGTCTTCTGTGAAACATTAAGCTGTCGAATATAATCTCTCTCAAATGTTCACATGCAGGATGTCAGGGAAATCGGTCTGAATTTGTGTGACTGTGGCTTGGGGTAATGTGTATAATGAGTGGTTGTGTCCAACGACCATGTAAGACACCGCCTCCTGCTTTGATGAAACAGTTCTGGCAGGATCTCCTATAATCCATTAGCAGTAGTAAAAGAGTATGAATTATACCATTCACATATACAGTATATGAAGCATGTGTAAATTTTCAACGATAATGATTATATTCCATTAAAAAGGGAAATTTAATTTCATTGATGGCGTACGAACTAATGAGAGTCAAATGAGCATTAACTAATTCGTGTAATGCTGATCTGTTGACATTATTATCGAAGAGACCGTGGCCAATAACTCTGACGATTTAAAATTGAAAACATATATTATTATCTTCTTGAGAGGTTATCTTGAGATGATTTCGGGGCTTTTAGTGTCCCCGCGGCCCGGTCCTCGACAAGGCCTCCACCCCCAGGAAGCAGCCCGTGACAGCTGACTAACACCCAGGTACCTATTTTACTGCTAGGTAACAGGGGCATAGGGTGAAAGAAACTCTGCCCATTGTTTCTCTCCGGCGCCCGGGATCGAACCCGGGACCACAGGATCACAAGTCCAGTGTGCTGTCTGCTCGGCCGATCGGCTCCCCAGATATCCTTCAGATATTTAACAGAAAAAATCCACATTTATTTCTAGCATTTATGTTTTATCACATTTGTCTAGGATTAATTAAATAACTCATTAAAATAGTTTCAGAGCTACTACTAATTTTGGGGGAAAGGGAAACCTCCAACATTTCATTAAACCTTTCACACATATTTAATAGGTTAATATATATATATATATATATATATATATATATATATATATATATATATATATATATATATATATATATATATATATATATATATATATATATGACTGAAAACTCACACCCCAGAAGTGACTCGAACCCATACTCCCAGGAGCAACGCAACTGGTAACTACAGGGCGCCTTAATCCGCTTGACCATCACGGCCGGACAAAAGGAAGTGGTAGCCGAAGCTATTTGAACCACTTCCCCGCCGGCAACTTGGATGGTAATGCGGATTAAGCGGATTAAGGCGCCCTGTAGTTACCAGTTGCGTTGCTCCTGGGAGTATGGGTTCGAGTCACTTCTGGGGTGTGAGTTTTCAGTCGCATATAGTCCTGGGGACCATTCAGGCTTGTTCGCATATATATATATATATATATATATATATATATATATATATATATATATATATATATATATATATATATATATATATATATATATATATATAAGTCACTGTTGCAATCTGAACTGCTGGAAATATGAGTCGTCACTCTTGTGGGTTTAACATATTGACAGATTAGATTCATTTTAACATATGTGAAGGCCCTGATGTCATGTGAACCACCATTTGAAACTGCTTTATAACTCAGGAGTTATAAGTTTTTCTGCTTCCCTGGGAGCAGAGTTGGCCAGAATCACGAGCCCCAGCAAGCATCACCTGATCAATGGACTCCTCCGGACACATACTCACATTTAACGTGATAAATTGTGGACTTATTTAGGTGTCTTGCGTATTCATGCAGATAGTGAAGGTGACCCTTAGCAAGGGTCACCAGCTGTGAAAGTTGAGGAATGAGCGGCGATGTGTCGGCGCCCTTCATATTCAGTTCTTTCAAGGGAGTAAAGGGTATCTGATTGCTTTCGCTTTGGAAAATCGAAGACAATCATAATGCCAGCGCGAGTCTTGCCGTTGGGTACTATACAGTATTCTAGGCCTGCGAATCTTGCCACTGAGTACAGTACCTGTGTTCAATGCCAGCTCGAGACATGCCACTGCGTACTTTACCTGTGCCCTATGCCAGGAGAATCATGCCACTGCATACTTTACCTATAAATATGCCAGGAGAGTCATGCCACCGGGTGCTACACAGTGTTACCCTCCCCCGCAGGTCCAGTGTGTGCAGGCGTAGTGGGACTCAAGATGCCTCGGTACTGCCTCTTTGGTGACACCGTCAACACAGCCTCCCGTATGGAGTCCACGGGTCAAGGTCAGCTCCCTTACCTCCAGTTGCTTTAATGCACACACACACACACACACACACACACACACACACACACACACACACACACACACACACACACACGCACGCACGCAACCTGTTACCTAATATTGCACCTGTTCGCTCTCTCAATACACACCTCTAATATCCTAAAACAGAAGTTATTTCAGTGATGTTATTCCTGTCTAGTCCGACCCTATAAATACAACTGCTCTCATATTTACAATATTAACTTTTTGTTTACACTTAAAACATTCAACATATGAATATTACCTTAAACTACATTGAACTAGCCTTATTGGCCACTTGTGAGTGCCAAGTGATATCAGCACTGATTTCTGAATGAAATACAATTCTATGAAATACAATATAATTCTAAATTAAAATCTTTCATGTCACACAAATCCCCGTATGTTGTTGTGTGTCTGGAGTTTGTCACATGTGCTGGCTTACCCCGTGTAAGGGGTAAGCACAGAGCCCCCACCCCCTTTCCCCTCGGTATTTCACCCTTAACTTGCCTTATAGTCTCCAGTGATATTCCCTCTGATCTCCCCCAGTCTTCCCTCACTCCTCTTTACCTTCCCATACTTACCTAAACGTTTTCCAAATCACACCCTTAATCTCCCAGCGAGTTTGGCCTAACCTTGCCTCTGATCCACTAATCATGCAATGTTTTCCATGCCTTGCCTTTGAATTTCCCCTCTGCCCTAGGTTTCCCCTCTGTGACCCCTAGCGTGACTCCTCTGTGCCCTTTCTATGACCCCTGGCGTGACCCCTCTGTGACCCCTAGCGTGACCCCTCTGTGCCCTTTCTGTGCTCCTGGCGTGACCCCTTTGTAACCCCCTCTGTTACCCCCTCGGTGACCCCTCGGTGATCCCTGGCGTGACCCCCTCTGTGACCCCTGGCGTGACCCCTCTGTGCCGTACTCTTGCAGCGCTGAGGATCCACTGCTCGTGCACGTGTCGGGACATCCTGGCCAAGGTGGGCGGCTACGTGCTGGAGGAGCGCGGGCAGGTGAAGGTCAAGGGCAAGGGCGACATGACCACCTACTGGCTTATTGGTGAGTCTCCTGGCCCAGTGTGAGACACAGGTGGGACAGTGACACAACAAGGACAGAGGTGGAACAAGGACAGAGGTGGAACAAGGACAGAGGTAGAACAAGGACAGTGTTAGAACAAGGACAGAGGTAGAACAAGGACAGTCACACAAGGACAGAGGTGGAACAAGGAGATATGTAGAACAAGGACAGACTTAGAACAAGGACAGAGGTAGAACAAGGACAGTGACACAACAAGGACAGAGGTGGAACAAGGAGATATGTAGAACAAGGACAGACTTAGAACAAGGACAGAGGTAGAACAAGGACAGTGACACAACAAGGACAGAGGTGGAACAAGGAGATATGTAGAACAAGGACAGACTTAGAACAAGGACAGAGGTAGAACAAGGACAGTGACACAAGGACAGAGGTGGAACAAGGAGATATGTAGAACAAGGACAGACTTAGAACAAGGACAGAGGTAGAACAAGGACAGAGGTAGAGCATAGAAAGAAGAGAACAAGGAGAGAGTTAGAACATAGAAAGAGGAGAACAAGGACAGAGGTAGAACAAGGACAGAGGTAGAACAAGGACAGAGGTAGAACAAGGACAGAGGTAGAACAAGGACAGAGGTAGAACAAGGACAAAGGTAGAACAAGGACAGAGGTAGAACAAGGATAGAGGTAGAACAAGGACAGAGGTAGAACAAGGACAGAGGTAGAACAAGGACAGAGGTAGAACAAGGACAGAGGTAGAACAAGGACAGAGGTAGAACAAGGACAGAGGTAGAACATAGAAAGAGGTAGAACAAGGACAGAGTTAGAACAAGGACAGAGGTGGAACAAGGACAGAGGTAGAACAAGCACTTCATATTTGAATTCTAGGTAATGTATCAGCATCAGAAGCGTCGACATGCAGGTCAAGAACTACACGAAATGAACACGTACTTCGTCTCCAGACACCATCACCACATTGTATTCTCTCTCTTTATTGTCCAAACTTTCTTATTTCCCCCATAGCATTATGTCCAATACTTCGAATTCAAGCACTGAGATTTATTATGTCCAACCCTATGATTACTGCACTGAGATTGTCTCCGTGCTTGATGGCAAGCAAGAGGACTGAGTATGTCCAAAACTTTGATTACAATTGGATTGTGTTCAATACCTCGATTACAAGCACAGGGATTAACTGTGAATAATACTATGGTTACGCACATTGCAGTTGTGGTAAATATTCTGATTAACGGAATCAGGATTGATTGTAACCAGTCCCGTATGCTGTCACAGGCAGCCTCAGACGGCAGCGCCAGACTGTTCTTTGTCTAGGTGGTGAATGGCACCACCCGAGGCACTGTGAGCCTGTGGCACTGTAAGAATGTCGCACTGTAAGAATGTCGCACTGTGAGAATGTGGCACTGTGAGCCTGTGGCACTGTGAGCCTGTGGCACTGTAAGAATGTGGCACTGTGAGCCTGTGGCACTGTAAGAATGTGGCACTGTGAGCCTGAAACACTGCAAATCATTACCTCAATGATTTGCTGATCATTCTTGCCCTCTTCTGCAAAGTTTCTTAATATTTATTATTAAAATCAAGGAAACATATATTGTTGGAATTATTAAAAGTTTATGATTAATATAATGCACATCCACTTATTTTAATTAAATAAAAACTAATACATAGAATGTATATTCAACAATATTTTATTGAATGAAGGATCAATTTACTTTATTATATTATCACTAAAAACCTATAGGCCTACTGTGGTTGGGTATTAGATCTGTCCTGTTTCCTCATTTTCATGAGCAAATGAGAGACAACGTATGAGTTCACTTTGTTAAAGTGTACATTTTGTGCTACACTATGGTAAGTAGTATTACATACACTTCCTATGTATTATATGGATTATGTTTAATATGGCTACTGCTTGGGTATATACGGATGGATATTTGAAGATATTTTTCCCAAATTTAAACAGATATATAACTCTCATTGTCATCCTTCTCGCCCACCTCAGGTGAGGATCCAGAGCGGAAGCGGCGTCGCGAGCGGTCGCGGCGCCAGCGCGGGCTGCAGAGTGTGACGCTGACCAAGAATGGTTGCGTGGGCGGCCTGCGAGGCTCCCTCAAGTGCAGCCGAGGCAGGACCTCTCCCCTGCCTCGGACCCTCAGTCTCGAGTCACCCAAGCGCCTCAGATTTGCCATGTCTGAGGAGCTGGCGACGCGAGCCATGAGTGACCAGCTGGATGATACATCGCCGCCTCCGCCAGCCTCACCCGCCTCTGACGACTGCGCGGTGCGCCGCATTTCTCTGGATGCCAAGCGCAACTCGTGCCCTTGCATCAAGGAACATCGCCAGCAGATGCGAGGAAGTCAAAGTCAAGCCCTCATTACCTCGCCCAAGGACAACAGCCCGCCCCTGGAGCTGGTCGTGTCCCCAGAGTCCTCGATCGCTGCCGACGGTGTCACAGTCGAAAGCTGCAGAACTACCATCAGCGGTGAGGGCGCGAGCTCGCGGCCTTCCAGCTTCATGGAGAGTTCGAATGAAGCTGCCCAGAGTGCCCCTCCTCCCTCTGTCACTCGTGACGCGCCTCTGCACTCCACCTCCTCGCTGCTAACGCACTCGGATGTGACTCACAAAAACACCTCCAATATAGATTTGACATTAACGGTACCTTGGACTCCAGGTAGTGGGAGCTGCAGGTCGAGCAGCGTGAGTGGCGGTGTCTCTGGCTGCGTTGCCAAGACTCGCTACTCGTTGTCTAGCGGAGGTAACGGCAGGTGGCGTTCCCACAGCTTGGTCCTGCAGAGTGGCAGACGAGGCAGCGCGACAGACAGTGACTCGGTGTCTGCCGTGACGTCGGCAGGAGCGGAAGGAGGGGACAGCAGAGCCGGCCGCATACGGTTCTGTGCTGATGGCGTGTCCTCGGAGGGCGAGGAGTCCGCGCCACTCCTCGCCAGTGTGGTCAAGTATAGAGTTATAAGCGAGGTGCAGAAGCTGCCGGAGCGAGAGACGCCGGTGTAGGGGAAGCAGGCGCTACCTTACCAGGACATCGTTCTCAAAACTGTGTTTTAATGGCAAAGAAACAGCAAAATGTGTTGTGGTTGTTATATACTATTGAATGCAGAACAGAGAAGACCAGGTAGTGAGCCGCAGTTATATAAACATTAAGACAAGGTGCTAAACATCTGTGTGTCTTGGTTTCTCCTGGTCTTTCTCTGGCACCTTGCGTCCCATAGTGCCACTCCGCGGACGGTTCTTGACACCCACGCCAGGCTGGCCCCTTGACACGCCAGGCTGGCCCCTTGACACACCAGGCTGGCCCTTGACACACCAGGCTGGCCCCTTGACACGCCAGGCTGGCCCCTTGACACACCAGGCTGGCCCTTGACACACCAGGCTGGCCCCTTGACACACCAGGCTGGCCCTTGACACACCAGGCTGGCCCCTTGACACACCAGGCTGGCCCCCTGACACGCCAGGCTGGCCCCTTGACACACCAGGCTGGCCCTTGACACACCAGGCTGGCCCCTTGACACACCAGGCTGGCCCTTGACACGCCAGGCTGGCCCCTTGACACACCAGGCTGGCCCCTTGACACGCCAGGCTGGCCCCTTGACACACCAGGCTGGCCCTTGACACACCAGGCTGGCCCCTTGACACACCAGGCTGGCCCTTGACACGCCAGGCTGGCCCCTTGACACACCAGGCTGGCCCCTTGACACGCCAGGCTGGCCCCTTGACACACCAGGCTGGCCCCTTGACACACCAGGCTGGCCCCTTGACACACCAGGCTGGCCCCTTGACACGCCAGGCTGGCCCCTTGACACGCCAGGCTGGCCCCTTGACACACCAGGCTGGCCCTTGACACGCCAGGCTGACCCCTTGACACTCGACACTTGACCGCTACAGCTGATGAGGCGTTATGCTGCCCACACAATAAATATCTCTACACACATTAAATAATTTATGTGTCAAGCAAAAATTATCTTAACAAATAAAATAATTTTTGTTTACTAGTTTTATAAAACTTTAAACATCATGACTTTTTACATATTTATTGTCAACATGTATCTATGGTGTCTCTTTATCGGCGAATCTTCCTTCAGTCTCTTTAGGGCTTAAATCAACATTCTGATTTCCTGTGAAAGTTTCAGGAAAATATTGGAATAGTCGCTGGCACTCCAAGATTGTCATTGACCATATTTTGTACTCTAAACCCACCATTAGACCATTATTACTAGAAGATCATTACAGACTATGCTTAGAACTCTAAAACCACCAGAGTCCATACTTATTACTACAATACCACCAGTGAGCATACTTATTTCTCCAAGACCACCAGTGACCATACTTATTTCTCCAAGACCACAAGTGACCATACTTATTACTCCAAGACCACCAGTGACCATACTTATTTCTCCAAGACCAGTAGTGATCATACTTATTACTCCAAGACCACCAGTGATCATACTTATTTCTCCAAGACCACCAGTGACCATACTTATTTCCCCAAGACCAGGAGTAACCATACTTATTACTCCAAGACCACCAGTGATCATACTTATTTCTCCAAGACCAGGAGTGACCATACTTATTACTCCAAGACCACCAGTGATCATACTTAGGACTCCAAGACCACCAGGGATCATACTTAGGACTCCAAGACCACCAGTGATCATACTTATTTCTCCAAGACCAGGAGTGACCATACTTATTACTCCAAGACCACCAGTGATCATACTTATTACTCCAAGACCACCAGTGACCATACTTATTACTCCAAGACCACCAGTGTCCATACTTATTATTCCATGACCACCAAAGATCATACTTAGGACTCCAAGACCACCAGTGATCATACTTATTTCTCCAAGACCAGGAGTGACCATACTTATTACTCCAAGACCACCAGTGACCATACTTATTACTCCAAGACCACCAGTGATCATACTTATTACTCCAAGACCACCAGTGACCATACTTATTTCTCCAAGACCGCCACTGACCATACTTATTACTCCAAGACCACCAGTGACCATACTTATTACTCCAAGACCACCAGTGACCATACCTATTATTCCAAGACCACCAGTGATCATACTTATTACTCCAAGACCACCAGTGATCATACTTATTACTCCAAGACCGCCAGTGACCATACTTATTACTCCAAGACCGCCAGTGACCATACTTATTTCTCCAAGACCACCAGTGACCATACTTATTACTCCAAGACCACCAGTGACCATACTTATTACTCCAAGACCACCAGTGACCATACTTATTACTCCAAGACCACCAGTGATCATACTTATTACTCCAAGACCACCAGTGATCATACTTATTACTCCAAGACCACCAGTGATCATACTTATTACTCCAAGACCACCAGTGACCATACCTATTATTCCATGACCACCAAAGATCATACTTAGGACTCCATGACCACCAGTGATCATACTTAGGACTCCAAGACCACCAGTGATCATACTTATTATTCCATGACCACCAGTGATCATACTTAGGACTCCAAGACCACCAGTGATCATACTTATTATTCCATGACCACCAAAGATCATACTTAGGACTCCATGACCACCAGTGATCATACTTAGGACTCCAAGACCACCAGTGATCATACTTATTATTCCATGACCACCAAAGATCATACTTAGGACTCCATGACCACCAGTGATCATACTTAGGACTCCATGACCACCAGTGATCATACTTAGGACTCCAAGACCACCAAAGATCATACTTAGGACTCCAAGACCACCAGTGATCATACTTAGGACTCCAAGACCACCAGAGATCATACTTAGGACTCCAAGACCACCAGAGACTATAGAGTTGCTCAATACACTACACTTATATCTTAATATGTTCAGTATTACAATATTGTCACAGTATGGATCTATCATTAGCACGCACCAGACCGCCTACACAGAGGCCACCGAGATGGCAGGAACACAAGGTGAGAGGCTAAAGAAACACCGCTAAGTAAACATAACTATATTCACACTATAACTATATGTGTACAATATGGTTCCCAGCAGCATACCACGGCCCAGAGCACGCTATGTCACGTACCACACCTGGTCACATCTTAAATCCTAATTAACCAATCTCACAGACATGCTAAACCCGAACCAACTAAACCAAAGATGTTAAAGCCTACTGGGTGGGTGTGGGCGAGTGTAGCAACCAATAGGACACGCCGCACCAAGTCTCAGCTACCTTAGCTGGGTCCACCCCCAGGTCCCGGCCCTCTGCATCGATGTCCCGTCCAGTACTGAGACCTGTCACTTGCTGGCGTCTCTTGTATTCAGGCTCCTCACAACCACTTACAGTCAACAGGTGAACCTGCGCCTCCACACCCACGACGCCTGACAAGACAGTACTTCCGGTCACCTCTCTGAATCGCCGCCCTCTACTCGAGTCCTGGGGTAGCCATCTGCCCTACCCTGACCAGTGCCCAGGAGAGGCCAACCACACACTGCCTCGAATCGATTTGCCACACTCATAACTTCCTCCTCATGCTTCATAAACTGCTTCCGCCGCCAGTACTTTGAGAGACTACTAACTAAATTTGCACAATAATCTGGATACGACACTATACATAGTACTCCAAACCACGAGACCATACCTGGTACTCCAAGACCACCAAAGATCACACTTAGCACTCCAAGACCCCCAGAGACCATTAAAAGTTCTCCCTGACCACCAGAGACCATACATAGTACTCAGAAACACCACAGTCCATTCTTATTAGTCCAAGACCACCAGAGACCACACATACCACTCCAAGACCACCAGAGACCACACATAGTACTCCAAGACCACCAGAGACCACACATAATACTCCAAGACCACCCAGAAATTACCGGAAACTCTGTATCTTCGTTCTGTGTGTGCACATTATATATATATATATATATATATATATATATATATATATATATATATATATATATATATATAAATATATATATATATATATATATATATATATATATATATATATATATATATATATATATATATATATATATATGCAAATGACGATCACAAAACACTGATCATTTTATGCGGAAAATCCACAGAGAAATATGAAATGAGGTGAACGTTTCGGCTTGTTAAAGCCTTTGTCAACACCAGTCAGTCTGGTGTTGACAAAGGCTTTAACAAGCCGAAACGTTCACCTCATTTCATATTTCTCTGTGGATTTTCCACACACACACACACACACACACACACACACACACACACACACACACACACACACACACACACACACACACACACACACACACATATATATATATATATGCGAACAAGCCTGAATGGTCCCCAGGACTATATGCGACTGAAAACTCACACCCCAGAAGTGACTCGAACCCATACTCCCAGGAGCAACGCAACTGGTAACTACAGGGCGCCTTAATCCGCTTGACCATCACGGCCGGACAAAAGGAAGTGGTAGCCGAAGCTATTTGAACCACTTCCCCGCCGGCAACTCGGATGGTAATCTTGGGCATAGCATTTCACCAAATCACCTCATTCTTTGGGGCACACGTGAGGAATACAAATGCGAACAAGCCTGAATGGTCCCCAGGACTATATGCGACTGAAAACTCACACCCCAGAAGTGACTCGAACCCATACTCCCAGGAGCAACGCAACTGGTAACTACAGGGCGCCTTAATCCGCTTGATGGTCAAGCGGATTGACTTACTGAATGAGGTGATTTGGTGAAATGCTATGCCCAAGATTACCATCCGAGTTGCCGGCGGGGAAGTGGTTCAAATAGCTTCGGCTACCACTTCCTTTTGTCCGGCCGTGATGGTCAAGCGGATTAAGGCGCCCTGTAGTTACCAGTTGCGTTGCTCCTGGGAGTATGGGTTCGAGTCACTTCTGGGGTGTGAGTTTTCAGTCATATATATATATATATATATATATATATATATATATATATATATATATATATATATATATATAAATGTATATATATATATAAATGTATATATACACAAGCTTGAATGGTCCCCTAGACATATGTATCAGAAAGACTCTTCCTCGTGAAGGATTCGAAGCTGTGATAGCCAGGCGCTCCATACACACTAGAATATCCTGTACCATGCCCACCAGACCGCTGAACAGTACCATACCACTAGTACCATGCACAACAGTCCCTTGTGGTCCAGTGGGCATGGTAGTGGATATGCTAGTGTGTATGTGGAGCGCCTCGCTATCACAGGTTCGAATCCTTCACGAGGAAGACTTTTTCTCACACACACACACACACACACACACACACACACACACACACACACACACACACACACACACACACACACACACACACACACACACACCAGGAAGAGAGGATAATATTAGTGGAAGGAAGAGTGGGAATATCAAGTGTGAGGAAAGTGACACAGAGCTAATTAAGCGTGTTGTGTGGGGCTCGAACCCTGACATGTGAGTGACATCAGTCCATCTCTCCTCCATCGTGGGTTTATTGAGACTGGTATTGTGATGGGTCCGCTCTGGCTGACTGTCCCCGGCACTCGTGTCATCATACTGCCTTGGCGCAGGTGTCATCATACTGCCTTGGCGCAGGTGTCATCATACTGCCTTGGCGCAGGTGTCATCATACCGCCTTGGCGCAGGTGTCATCATACTGCCTTGGCGCAGGTGTCATCATACTGTACTGACACACATGATATCATACAGGTTTGACACTCGTGTCATCTTACTAGCTTGACACACACATGTGTGTCATCTTACTGGCTTGACACACATGTTTTTTAACTAGCTTGGGACATCAGTCAACTTACAAGTCTGATATACGTGTCACCTTACTGACTGGCTTGGTGTACAAGGCTTTGTTATGGCTGGCTTGGTGTTTGTGTCACTGACATAACCCACGTCACACGTCACTGGTTGGCTTGACACACACCTGGTGCCTGTTAGTCAGTGTTTCGGTATGACCTCACACACGTGAC